CTTGAGAAAGCACACAAACAAAATAAAATTTAAAGTCTCTGTGGCACCTATGACACTAATAGGCTGGCAGTTGTCCTTACCAGCTCGATTGCCAATATGTATTCACTTTAAGTTATTATAGTCTCTTCTGCATTCACTGATGACAACTATGAACTGATTTAACTGAAGGCACAGTACTACACTCCCTGGTTGGCCTTTATCACAGCCGTGACCACAACACCCTAAAAAATAAAATAAAATAAAAGCTTTGTCATGTGGCAGTGATTGTGTGGTTATAGGCCTGTGACCCTGGCTGCACCTCCAACTCGGTGGAAATTGAGTTTTCAAAAATACAATCGTGTCTAGCATGAAAAGTCCTACATCGATTTACACTTTCACCTCACTAAGACGATCTTGACGAACTGGTTATATAAATGTATATGACCATCTCAATACGACCGCAGTTATCAAAAATATCTACGGTAGTGGGCAGAGCCTAGTAACCATCAGTTGATGCAGTTTTGAGGAAGCAACAGACAAGTTGCGAGAACAAGCTCTTCTACGTTACAAAGAAATAATTCATCGTTATATAAACTACCTTGTCCTCCATAATATATTAACGATTAATTTAGGTCAATATGTATAAAACTTTAATAATTGGTGTTGTGCAAAGAAGACTATGGAGCACTCAGCGTGGATCAAGCCCAGGATGACATCACGGTTTGTAGTAGAGTGGCAGCTGTCAACGTCCACCAAAAAGTCGCACGACTCCCAAGCTCGCGGTTAAAACTTACAGCCGCATAACCAGAATTTTGAACGTCGTTCAGCCGGCCGAAATGTAATGACCACGATCATACACATCAGTTAACATAAAATCAAACTATTCATATTACGCTCAATAGCCAAGCCCACAAAAAAAATGTAGCTGTGCTTTCTTTATTTGAGTTTCCCATCTGAGGAGTCCGTTTTCTCATCACTTCAGGACGGCCGAGTCCTTCTTTTTCTCTCAACCTTAGATTCCACCCGAGACTTCGATATTTCTTAGTAACGACAATTTGAAATTACAACTGTGGTTGCAATTGTTGAAACTTAGATAGGTCTGATTACAGTTGGAACATTCAAGATCCATTGTGAGTGATGTTGAAAGCTTCAAATGTCCTTATTAGTAAGACTTGTCGAGTAAGTGAGTGTCGAGTTTGTCAATATGAGTGGCATATCCTTATATCGTCGATGGGGATAGCCATGAATTCCAAGTGCTACTGAAGTTAGATTATTTTGATACCCAAACATGAGAGAATCGGATGTTTGTAGCTTAGTTAGTGTCAGTTGTCTATTTAAAAAAGTCATTAATCTCCTGAAAAGATTCTGTCAAACTCAAAATCTCCAAGACCTAACGGCTCTTCCCAGGAAAAATTCCTTGGCTGTGGTTTTTGGTTTCCTGTAAGTACAGTAATTTAGGTGTGAAGGTCATTACCCCTGTCTTATATTTCGACGGTATAAGTAATCTAGCGGACACACAGGCGAATGACTCGTGCAGGCCGCTGTAGGGCAGACCCATATGTGGCATTCACAGTATCATTACTCGATAATACTTTACAACTATCACCTCCATGGACAGTGACGGTGTAACGGGCCGAGTTTTCTCTTTTCAATAATTTACCATCCAGCTACTCTTTTCTGTTAGTATTCTATGTACTCATATACTTATTTGTTCTGTGTAGCATTCTTCCAATGAGTACCCTGTTTTATATACTTATTCTTCTTCCATTCTTTAACTATATATATTTCTTAGTTTCAATGTTCTTACCTTTCTGAAGTATACTTTGTTTTATGTCTATTCTTATACATGGGTTAGTCTGGGGAACCATGTTATTCTTTGTACAACACTTTTTATACTTACAAAGGGTAGCTGCCACCACCCAGACTTTTCATTATATAACATAACTCATGGAAAGTTGTTGGGTAGTGTGGTAGATGTCTAGGCACGTGAGTAAGTATTATTTTCTGGGAACCAATGTTTAGAAGGAGTAGAGTGGTGATACTCAGATTACTAATTCAATATTTATTAACTTTCGGTGATGCTTACCGAAGTATGAAAACTAAGAGTAACTCAAGCAGTTAGAAATGAAAGATGTAACTATTATGCAAATAAGCTACAGTCAACATCGGGCAACAGCAAAGAAAACCTGGAGTACCATTATTTCTATTTAGAACAGAAACACTCACCTACGCCCTCTCCTCACTCAGTTTTTATGATAAATGATACAGTTGTAACGGAACCCTTCCTCATTGCCAACCACTTCAATTATTATTTTATCAATGTTGGCAAATATCTTGCAGAAAGCATCCCTAATCACAATGAGGAATTTCAAGCCTACCTGGAAAACTGACAGCAAAATTATTTTTCTTATCTCTGTCATGGCTGATGTATACATTGGTCTACAAATTTTGAAAATTGTGTACTTCGGAGATAAAATGGTTTTCCCTTCATGGATTTTTTGGACGCTAAAAGCGAATATAACCACAAAAACAATTGATTGGCAACACTTTCCAAGAAAATTTAATTTTCACATTTTGTTTATATGTTTACAATATATTAGTAAGATAGATAGAAATTGCCATTGCAATAATTATAGAAAAATGTTGTCAAGACATGATACTGAAAGTTTCTGTCTTCTTGTTTCACCTTCATACAACCCATGTTGTATTGCTTCCCTCCCTTATCATATTAATATATATCAACTCCACTGTTAATTATGTATATACTTAGATGTAAATGTAATCAAAAATAAAAATAAATAAAAAATATCGAAGCGATAACCATGGTAACATACTGATATGTTCTTATGACCACCAAGTTATGTGTACTATTCCAGATGAGACTAAATGTTACATAATATTTCCTTGAGATAAATGTACAGTATATATCAGGTGCCATTAAGAGAGCTTAGGCTCTCAATTGGCTCAGCCATGTCAATATCATTATTATTGTCCACTCTGTATCGGTATTTTTCTGGCTAAATGAACTGTTTCAGTATCAATATCAATTAAAAAATTTTGAGGGGTGGGGTTGGAGGCTAAGAGGAGACCAAAAACACTTATTTTGTAGGATATCCAGAATAACATGAAAACACAAAATTATCGTATAAGAGATGACATGAGTCTCTCAAATACTGTTAAAAGTGGTGTGAAATTAATGTATCCTTTTAATATACGAGTGTGTTTGGGGAAATTTAATGAACACGTATCTAATTTATTAGATATGCGAGTGCTTAGATGAACAATTGACACGTAAGTATATTAGTTTTAATGGACACGTACTGTATATAGTTTTAGTTGACACATTCAATTAACGCTTGAACACTTTAATAGCCGCTATTACGTTACCACCTAGTCCTCTGTTACATTACCATTTAATACACCGTTACCCTTCCACTAGCACACTGTTACACTACCACCAATACACTGCAACATTACCACCAGTACACTGTTACACTACCACCAATACACTGCAACATTACCACCAGTACACTGTTACACTACCACCAGTACACTACGACATTACCACCAGTACACTGTTACACTACCACCAGTACAATACGACATTACCACCAGTACACTGCAACATTACCACCACCACAGTACCTTACCTTAATGTAACGCCCACTAAGTTCTCTGGTAACACAAAGATTAGTAGATCTCGGCGCATGTTCACCGCTGGCCGCCACCGGTGAGGAAACAGGAAGTGGAGGGAAAGATAAGCTATACTAATTATAATATGGTTGATTGTGACTGTCGCTTCCTACGGTACAATATTCTCCCTTAATGATAGAATTGTTTATTATGAGAATTTTCTATGAAAACTACCTCTTCGGTGACCAGGTACGTTTTGGTTTAGGTTGTTCACACATAGACATAACGTCATTATTATAGTTTTGACTCTTGTGTAGGTTTCCGTGAACAGTATTCAAACATCATTGTGTATATTCCCGTAATCATTTGTCCAACCTAACATTCCGGCGTTGTAGACAAAATATTGAACTAACAAGGTATTTACAGTAGTCGGTATAAGGCAAACCAGAAATTTTCAGCCAATTAGAGACCAGAACTATTCATAGAGGAATGTTGGGGGATATGCAAATAGTTGCATACTGTATATCAATCAGTATATCAGTCTTCTTGTTAGACCGAGGGAATATCTCTCATCTTTTACTATATATTCCCGAGCGGTCTTCTTATTAAAAAAAAAAAGATGATGAAAGTTCTACAATTTATCAATAAATGGTGGAGGTAATGAATTTCTGCATCTAAAGCGTCTCCTTAACTACACACACACACACACTTGGTTCTGGGTCGAGCGGCTTTTTCTAGCATTAGTTCTTCCTCCCTAGTCACGGGGACAACCATAGTCCAACTTCATACACACTCTAACTGTCTAACACCAACTTTTTTTTTCACTGGGTAACTGAAGTGGTGAAATATAGTCTATTTTACTTTACGTACATATAGCCTATTATCTATATTATGTACAGAGCCTAGAGTGACAAGACCTCGCCAAAGCTGTAGGGCTCATTTTTTATGAGCTCTTATTTCGTGTGCAGTGGAGGTGGTGTGGATTAGTGGATTCCATGTTATTGAACTAACCTGATGTTATGTAGGTCGCCTTTTGTATATAAACCTCTCTCAGTCCCTGTAAATTCAGTTGCCTCTGAAGATTAGCACTAACTTCTATTTCTTTATCATTTTTGGGACTACTGACTAGCTTTATAAAATCATGTAGAATTGTAGATAATAAAAATACAAATGACTGAAAATTTTCATACAAAACTTATCTTCAGGGGCACTGATTCTGTTCTTGCACCTGTTGCCGTCATTAGTTTTCACGCATTCACTTTTCCTCCGTAATTTGAAGAATTTGGAGTGACTGGCAAGATACTTTTCACTTTATGTAGTAGTGTTGTATTTCCCAAGGATATATTTTGCACTCAGAGTCTTATAGATATAATTATAAGAAACAAAAAAAGAGTTTCCCGTTTACTTTTTTGTCGGTAAGAAGATAAATTAACAATACAATTATGCATAAGAATATTTTTGTCAAAAGGTACCTTTGACAGGTTACGAAATCCTTAATGACAGAGAAAGAGAGAAAAAGAATATTTGGAAATGATAATCATAGTGATTGTCAGTAACACTCAGAACAGGTATGGGTCGGAAGTATGAAAGCAAATCATTCATGGGGTATTGTAAAGCTGCTTTGGGATGTCTAATGGGGAACACAAGAGGCCGGGTAGTTGGTCACGTAGGTGTGGGGGTAACAAGCCTTGTCTGTTGAACCCAGCTGCAGAACTCGCTCCTCTGACCACACACAGTCATACGCAATCTGGTGGAAAAGAAGTTAAGTTGAATATAACTGCATATCATCTGATGTTGCTAATAATAAAAAAAATGAAGAGAAGGAAAATATAATATCACAACTTTCTCAACACAAAAATTATGATTAAAAATTTTATGTATATATCTCTGGACCTTTGTGTGTGAACAGGGATCGCTACCACCGCACCGCAAGGACAGCAAAAGCAATCCTAGGCATTATTTTATTCCACACAGAGCCTGTTAAACATGCTTGCTAAACGCCGTGAACCTCTGTTGGGGATTGTCCGTGCACTATATATTAGTAAAAAGAAATCGTATGTACAGGGTACATTAAGATAACATATAAATAAATGTTTCACACTTACAGGTTTCGTGATATTCTCAGTTGCTTCACACTCAGGCTTGCAAAAAGGAGTTGGGACCATGGATTTGCATTTGTAGTTGCCGAATATCTTCTCCTGGTAGAGCCACTCGGTACAGTCATACACGACTGTGGTGGAGAGGACGGGTCTTTATTGTCTATCATCGCGTTGTTTTTAAGAGAAGACAGAGAGATGTGGCAACGGAAAACCATTCTAACTTTTAAACCTTACTAAACATAACTGTCAAATATGATCAGACTTTGATATGAGGTTGTAAAAGACAGGTATAAAGGATCTAGTTATTATGCAACCTCATCCTCCTCATTCATGACATAGTGTTAAACCGAGTGAGGCAGGAGGGCAATAGGAGCTGTATATAATATTTTTTATTGTACACACACACACACACACACCAAAACATCACGATCTTAACCTACCATCGGCGTGTGACACTCCGGTAGGAATGTAGGACTCGCGAGAACAAGTCTTTTGGAATAGCTCCACTTCATCTTTCTTGGATTGTAAGGCAAAGACGTCGCAATCCTGAGAGGGAGTCGTCCAAGATAGAGCGAATAAGGTTAGGTTGGTGTAGATACATCCTTTAGGGCCTACCAGGTCGTTGCTTTTCTCACCATCCATCTTACCACACAGGCCTTCGATCTTTCCTCTTAGTACTTGTGGATCCTGTTAATAACATCTTTATTATGTCCGAGTAACTTGGAGACAATTCTAACTCATCCATACGTCCGTACAATATAACTCCAACGTATTGGAATTCCTATTTAAGTGTATTCACACTTATTGAAACATTTATATTAATTTTATCCAACTTAAGGTTCCTAATAAATACACCTTTGTTAGCTAATTCCTGGACCTTAATCATCTGTAAGCGAATCTTGGAAGGTTGATTTCAGTTTCTTTTACAAATATGCTCAGCAATTATGAAAACTCATAGTCAGGTCAGCTTACCAAGATTTCCACTTTGTCCGAGACTTTGATGAAACAACCGTCAGCAAACAGGAGAAGACCAGCATCTGATAGTCTAATGAACTCGTAAGTCTTGTCACGCTCCTCATATGGTCTCTGATTGACCTGTTGGCAAGAGGACAAAAGTTTTAATTCATACAATAACAAATTGCTTAAGTATTGTCACAGGAAACTTCACTGACTTCGTTTTTAATGATTCTGACACGGCAGATTGTTTGTGTCAAAAGGGACCAGATACTTATGGTGATAGCTATCAGAAAAATTCGCTGAAAAGGGTGCCTGAAGAAAATCAGTCTGGAAAACACTACTTTCCTTAGTATTTGTATGGGCAATTTGGTGGTTGTGTCTCGTTTCATTTCATGTCAAAAAATAAAATAAAATAAATAGGAACGTACTAGTAGCTGCGTCTTTGTCAGGTCAAGCTGGAGTCCCCTCCAAGGCCAAACAATGCGCACTTCCCATTGGTCTGTGTGGCGGACCATAAGAGCTCCTTCCATGGCCTCTGGGTCTTCAGGGTCGGCGTGGAATATACTGGCGGTGGTCCAGCAAGCATCCGGTTGATGTGAGAACACTGTGCCGTCCAAAGTTCGCACCTGCAAAGTTTACATAAAGCAGGTTATTATTAAAAAAATGTATTAATGGAATTATGAATATAAATCAAATCAAAAGAAACTTCTGGTATGTTTACCAAATCCTGGCAAAAAGAGTAAAATTGTAGCAGTTCCTTCAGGAAGATGTATAGGAACTTCATAAAATCATCATCAGTTTTTCTTTTGAATGGATCTTGTTTTAATTTTATACATTCATTACTTGCTTACTATAATGTTCTCCATTATCTTGTGCCATTCCCATTCATTAGTTACTTACTTGAGTGTCCTCGATAACACAGACAGAGGGTGTGCGGCCTCTGATTACGCTGTAATCGAAAGTGTCAGCCAACCTGGCTGGTCCACCAAATTCCTCAATCAGTGCGGGTGGCTTGAGGTCCTTAATGATGGATACCTCCTCTGCCTTTGTCGTCCTGACGGTCCAACGGTTAGTGTCTAAGGTTCTGCATAAAAAAAAAACAAGTTAAAATATATAGTTCACATCAGTTTAAAACCAATGTCACTCAACACCTAGCAAGGCAAAGTTTTTTAGTACAGGGCGTGTAATGAATATCAAACAAATATAAATGTTATTAAATATACCTGGTTAAAGTTAATATGCTGTCACGTACACGGTCTACGTTATTTTCAGGATTCGGTACTTCAGTGAATATAAACATGAGGTGCAATGAAAATTTCTCTGAGTTTCTCTTACTTACTTGGTGGCATCAATCTCTATCTGGTTCTCGGGGCTTCTGGCGGTGTGGTCGAGAGAGACGTAAGGGAAAAGAACACCCCGTATGATATCATCTACGAAGTAAGTCAAGTTCATCAGAGTGTTTGGGAAATTCTGTGTTAAAGAAAGAAATAACAGATGCTTTGATTAATAGACGAGTTGTAAATGAATATATTATTTAGTAATTTAATTTCACATAATATCTGGTATCACATTGTTGAAATTGATTGTGTAATGTAAGTTTGTGTGTGTGAAACGTAGATTCCCAGCATGGCTTCACAAATGATTCCCAGCATGGCTTCACAAGTGGACGTTCTTGTCTAACGAATCTATTGACATTCTTTTCATCAGTTTTCGAATCAGAGGACGAGGGGCACAATTATGATGTGGTATATCTCGACTTTAGCAAAGCCTTCGACAGAGCCCCCCACGAAAGACTAATTAGAAAGGTAGAAGCACATGGCTTCAAAGGTAATATCCTTAAATGGATTAGGGAGTGGTTACAGGACAGGAAACAGCGAGTGAGCATTAACGGCTTTAAGTCCCATTGGAGCAACGTCACAAGTGGAGTTCCCCAAGGCTCAGTACTTGGACCATTATTATTTATTATATACATAAACGACATAGATATCGGCATAGACAGCAACATAAGTAAATTTGCTGATGACACTAAAATAGGACGTGTTATTAAATCTGACGAGGACTCGGCAAAACTACAGGAAGATCTAAACAAATTTTTCGAATGGTCTGAAAAATGGCAGATGAAATTCAACGTGGACAAATGTAAAGTACTCAGTATAGGAGATGTAAACAGGAAAACCAGATACCAGATGAACAACGATGCCAAAGAGAAATCCGACTGCGAGAGAGATTTAGGAGAAATCATAAGTAGGAACCTTAAGCCAAGTAAACAATGTGTTTTTGCTCATAACAAGGCTAATAAAGTACTTGGGTTCATACAATGGAGTGTTAGTTACAAGATTAGCGAGGTCATCCTAAAACTGTATCTTGCGCTTGTGAGACCACACATGGATTACGCAGTTCAGTTCTGGTCACCGTATTACAGAATGGATATAGAATCCTTGGAAAGAATTCAGAGGAGAATGACAAGACTAATCCCGGGCATTAGGAACCTTGAGTATAGAGACAGGTTAAAGCATCTTAATTTGCACTCCCTCGAGAGACGCAGAGCGAGGGGCGACCTGATAGAGGTGTATAAGTGGAAGTCAGGGCGAAACAAAGGGGACATTACAAAGGTACTCAAACTATCCAACCAGGAGCGAACTCGTAACAATCAGGGCAGGCGCTACCCACTAGGCGAACTAGGCGAACGCCTAGGGCGCCAACATCTGGGGGCGCCACAAATTCAGGGCAAACTTGGATAAAATTAAAAATGAAGGGAAAACTGTGGTGGACACTGTGGTGGAGCCGTGGAGGGTCGGAGCAGGATGTTAGAAGGGTGGGGGGTCGGAGGGAGGCGAGGGGAGGTAGACGGTAGCCGACTGTGTTTTCTTTTTTAATATTATTCGTTAACCCCCCGGAGGGACTAACCCGGGTCCTTATCTTTGGCGGCCTGGAGAACTGTCGATCAGTGACCTGAAGGCTGACATCTGAGGAACCCTTCTCCCAACCCCACCATCCCCTCCCCTCCCTTACTGCCACTTACTGCCAGGGCGGCTGAGTCGCCCCTTCCCTGTCTTTGTCGGGATGAGGCAAGGTTACCTAACCTCTGAAGTTTACATCAAGGATTTATTGACTTAATGTAATAACAATAATTGGTTATTTGCATGGGTGAAGTAATAAAGCCACAAGATGAAAACAATGTAGTAATGGGTTATTGTACCTA